TGTTACGTCAAGCGCTCAGGTATCATAATTTTGATCTAGTTGCGCTTCTATGTCATTTTGATTTATGTTGCTAAGTTAACTTTCAAAAAATTCTATGGCTGGCAACAGCATTTTTATTTTTTAAGTTGTTTATTTTTATTTCTTTTAGAATTCGTTATTTTTTTAGCGAAATGTTTTTTAACCTAACAGAATTCTTTGCCGACTGTTTTCTCTATGAATGAAGAAAATAAAGTAAATATTTAACTGTTGTGAGAAGAATCTTATTTAGTTGTACAAAGTACTTCAGCCAAAATAAGGGAGCCACGTAAGAGAATTATATATATTAGATCAGAAACACATCATTAAAAGGCAGAATGCTTTGGTGTTTTCAAAACAAAGCAAACGTTGCCTCCGACGGAAAGGAAATACAGCCAAAATTTGGGAGCCACGTAAGAGAATTATATATAATAGATTAACGAGTTATAAGATTGATCCATTTAATGACTAAAATTACACTAAAAAAAATAAAAAAATTCTAACTTGCGAAAAATTTCTAAGTCCGGAAAATAAAAATAATTCTTCCACTTTCCAAAGAAGAGATAATAAAAATCTTCCTTTTGATAAAACCTTATTTAAAGAGAGGGTCTCACAATCTCCCTCAATTTCAGAAAAAATCTCTTCGTGAGGTAGAATCACCAAGTGAGGCAATATCTCAAGGTAGTGACTAAAGTCGGGAGGTCATAGACCTTAAGTGAGGCAGTATCCGATTCCAAAGTGAGGCAGAACCCCCATTTGATTGAATGATGTAGAGTATTAAATTTTCGATACAGCGCAAAACATTACAAAAAATTATGTTTTCAAAATGAAGGGGAAAAAGAATTCATAAAATTCATAAAATTAAATAAAGTGAGTCATCATAAATAATGCGATTGATTTATTAAATCTACGTTTCAATGTTTCTTTCTTTTCAATTTGTTTAAAGTAAAAAAATTGCACTGGATTAAAGAGAGTAAATAAGTATTATTTACCTTTCAGTTACTTCAATTCATGGGAGTCCAAAATTAAGTAGGGAACTCGTGATTTAGAATGATATCAAAAAAATCTATGAAAGACTGAAATGATAATCAAAATCTAACAGAGCGATTACAAACCTAAAAAAAGTTTTTTTTTTTTTTTTTGCTAAATGATATGTGATCGATACGTTTATTCATTACCTTTTTCCAGTCTTCTCAGTTTCTACGGCAAATATTTCGTACTATAAATTTTGGCTTCAATCGTTCGTTAATTGTTATGTTTTGATAACGCTTTAATTTTTCTCCCTTAAATTTTTTAATTTGTGAACAATGATGTTTATATTTTTTCTTATATTCTTATAAAGTATCTGAAAATATATATTACAGAACAACCGGCATTGCTTTTGAATTAAAAATAAAGCACTGATTGTATTAATTTGAATTGTCCACCACTGTTATAAATTATCTACAGAAAGTGGTGGTGGGTCATTTATGTTAAAAACTAACTTCAAGTTATATCTTTACTTTAAAAGTAGCAATCTGTGCGGTGTTTAAATACAGAAGTTTTAGGTTATAATATAAACGACGATAGACGTCTCTTAATTTAGAAATACACTATGAGCATAATACATTATAAGAGTTTACGTGTGATGGCTAACAAGTTATAATTTCACGTAAAGAATCATTTTATAAGTTACGGTAACAGTCATTTTTTATTCCATCGATACCAAAATTATTTTCGGATTCAAATTTATTATTTGCATCCCAATGAATGCTAGTTCAAAAAAAAAATAATAATGAAGTTTTATTTGCATCAGATGACTGTCTCATTAAGAAAAGAAAAACTAACTTCAAAACGTAAATAATAGAACAAATTTTATTATATATTTTGGGTATTACCAAAAGATTTCAAAAAAGGAGATAGCTTACCTCCACCAAAAGGCCGGGAACACTTCGTATTAATCCATAGACTTCTAAATAATGGCAGTTGAGAGTGAAACATTCAATATTAAATTTTATTCACAATCACAAACATATGGACACAAAATATTTACGGACACACACAAAAAAAAAAAACATGCTTCGCATCGCAGTTCTAAAACAGTTCTCTCTCGAACCAGAGTGTCAGTGTGTGTGGGAGGAGTCGGATTAGCCTTGAGCACGTGATTATCACGCGCTCACTAGATGAAATTAACTGATAGATTAATGATTTTAATTGGAATTTCCAACATCCTCCCACCTTTGAGTTTTTACACCAAGAAACTCAAATACGCTTTTCCAAAACATCCTTTTCGTTTTCACCAACTTCAAGAGGAAACAGTCTCGATGTTGATCGTAGAACTTCACCTCCTTTTGTCTTTAACTTTACGAGTCTGATATTTCCATCTCGTGACGTGAACACTTCGATGACTTTCCCTAGAGGCCAATATAGTCTCTTTGTGTTGTCACTGGATATCAGCACAAAATCGCCTATTTTGATAGGCAAAGAACTTCGCATTTTTCTATCGAATTGTCTCAGCTGTCCCAAATATTCCGAACGAAAACGTTTCCTCAGATCTTGTCTTAATCTTTGACGGTAGGCAAATCTTTTATTCAAAGATTTGCTGTCCAAGAGATCCAGGTTTGGTAGTCCAACTTCTCTGACCTCTTGAAGGAACATGCTAGGAGTAAGAGGCACTAGATCACTTATATCTTCACTGACGTACGTGAGAGGTCGTCCATTGATGATACTTTCACAATCACATAAAGACAGTATTTAATTCTTCGAAGTTGAGAGACGTCCGACCTAAGACTTTGCGAAGTATTCGCTTGAGAATTCCAATCAAACGTTCCCATAAGCCACCCCACCAGGGTGCAGATGGAGGGATAAATTTCCAGTTAATCTTATTCACTGCACTGTTTTTAACTACTGCATCCCAATTAATCTTTTAAAGAAGATTGTTCGCTTCAACCAAGTTTGTTCCATTGTCTGAGTAAACGATAGCTGGTCTTCCTCTATGAGCCACATATCTTCGAAAAGTCTGTAGAGAACTTTCAGTGGACAGTGAAGTAGTCAGTTCCAGATGTATTGCTCTAAACACAGCACAGGTATAAATGACAATCCACGACTTCTGATTTTCCTTCAGATAGAGAGGCCCTGTAAAATCTATTCCTGTAATTTCAAATACAGAAGCTGCTCTTATACGGTCAACAGGCAATGGAGCTGTTGGAGTTGCGATTGGTCGTGAATAGAATCGTTTGCAAATTATGCACTTTCTGATAACTTTGCGAACACTCTTTCTGTACTTCAGAATCCAGAACTCTTCTCTGAGTTGGGTCATTACAATCTGAACACCTGCATGACCAAGAGAACAATGTTTCCAGTGAACAAGCTTTTCAACTATTGGATGATCACTTGGTAACACAATAGGAAATTTGAAATTCTCCAAGTCGTCTTTTAACGAGAGTCTAGTCTTAATTCGAAAAAGTCCATTATCATCCTCAAGAACTTGGAGATTCTGTAGTTGCTTATCATGAGGTCCCGTGAAAGATTCTCGCTGTGCTATTTTTAGCAACGAAATTTCAGTTCTGTTCCTTTCTTCCACAGTTAAGTTTCCAAATTTTCTAACATCTTTCTTCATTTTACAATTATCCAAAAATCTGTAAACCCAGGAAATAACTATTAGTAGTTTAGAGTAATCGGAGAAAAGATCATAAATTTTGTCTTCATTTTCTGCATTTGTGACGCTAACAACTGTTTTTCTTTTTTCTGCATTTGTAATTTCTTCATTAGGAAAAATATTGGATTTAGGCCAATTGTCAGGATGGTTTTGCAACCAGGAGGGTTCACGAAACCAGTCAGACTTTGCTAAAGTTTCAATACTGCATCCTCGAGAAGGCAAATCGACAGGATTTGATTGACCGGAGATGTGATTCCAATCATCTGGGTCGGTCAAAGTTCAAATTTCTTACACGATTATATACAAAAGTAGCCCAGTTTTCATTCTTCTTAATCCAGTAAAGCACATTGCTGGAATCAGACCAGTATCGTGTGGCAACTTTTTTCATTCGTAAGCTTTCTTTCACAGATTGGCAAAGTCTTTCTCCTATGTTACATGCTAAAAGTTCTAGCCTAGATACTGATATTGGCTTCAGTGGGCGACCCTTGACCTAGCCTGTATTAATTGACAAGTAATTGAGTCCGGTGCTTCACTCCTCAAAAATACGCACGCAGCGTATGCTTTTTCGGAAGCATCACAAAATACGTGCAATGTTATTTCCCTAACTCTCTCATTTTTATCTAAACATCTGGGGATAGAAATATCATTTAAAATTTTGAGTTGATCTTTCCACTTATTAAATTTCTTAGCCATCCAAGATGGCAACTCGGAATCCCAAGACAATTTCAATTTCCAGCATTCTTGTAATATTAATTTTGGTATTAAGGTTACAGGACAGGTAAATCCAATAGGATCAAAGATTTTGTGTACGGTTGACAAAATATTTCTTTTAGTTACTGATTGATTTTTTGCAATGAGATCTAAATCTCTTAAATCAATGGATAAAATGTCCTTTTTACTATCCCATTTTAGACCCAATACAGGGACTGTTTTGGTTTCTATCAATTCAGATTCAAATTCTTCAAAAGGAGTATGCTCCCACCCACGTAAATTAAATTTTGCGGAAGCGAGAATTTCTTGTGATTCATGAATAAACTTAACTAATTCTGCTTTATTTTCAACACTGTGTACACAATTGTCTACGTAAAAGGATTTCAAAAGTTTTTGAGATGTTTCTTTATATTCAGAAGAAACATTATTCAAATGGAATTCAAGAGTAGCTCCTAATAAGAAAGGACTCGAGGATATTCCAAAAACAACCCTTCTATGCTGAAAAATTTTCGAATGTTCTTTTTTACCGTTCTGCCACCAGAAAAATTTTAAATAAGCCCTATCTTGTTCATGGAGTCCGATTTGCAAAAATGCCTTTTCAATATCGGACACAACTCCATATTTTCCTTTTCTAAACCTATTTATGACAGAAGGTATGAGTTCTACTAAGTTGGGCCCCTTTTCTAAGCAGTCATTAATAGAAGGCGACTCCTTATCTCGAGCGGAGCCATCAAAGACGGGTCTAACCTTCGTTGTCGAATTTTCTTTAAAAACAGGGCGGTGAGGTAAATAGTGTTCTGGTTCAGAACAATGCGCCTCCTCTATTATACCCTGATCTAACCAGTCATCAAAAATTGTTTCGTAATCAGTAATTTTGCCTAATTTCTTAAGGGATTTTATACAATTTTCTAGTCTTTTCTCAGAAATGCCCTTACAATTTTTTAAGGGGGAATGCCCATCAATCCAGGGCAATCGAACTTGATACCTCCCCTCAGAGTCTCTAGTCACGGTTCGAAAAAAATGCTCTTTTGCCGATTGTTCTAATTCTTCCCTAGTTTTTTTCTCACTGGGGTCAGCAATACCAAGTGTATCTAACCGCCATAAATCTGAAATATTCACATCATTTACATGACAAGACAGTACGGTATTTGTACTATCTTGTTCTTCTGCCTTATTATTCTTTCCCATTAGAGTCCAACCTAATTTAGTTCCAACGCAAACCAATCCTGAACTAAGTTCCTCTATGCTCCCACTGAGCAGTTTGCCAGCGATGTCAGCCCCAATTAACAAATGAATTTCTAAGGGAGAAGATTGATACAACAACTGATCATTATAACCCTGTGTAGTATCAGTTAAAAATATGCTACGAGATTTAAGTTCTTTTATATGAGGGAATAAATTTATTCTAGAAATATTAGAACAAATTACTTCCTGATCCAATACCTCAAAATTACAATGATAACTATTATCTACATTACTTATATGAACTAAATATCTTCTATGATTTTCTGTCTTTTTAACACCCCCAAATAAAGAATGCAAAATAGATTCTTCACCGATAACATCATATTCCATACACGTTGCAGCGTATTTCGATATGTACGATCGCTGCGAACCCGTATCAATGAGAATCCGAATAAATTTGGTTTTATTATCCCCTCGTATTTGTACTACTAATGTTTGTAAATAAACCTGACGCATGCATGTAGTGTTAGTTAAAGAGCTTTCCGTAACGACTTTTTCTTCCGACCCCTTTTCATTAATTTTATTGCCATGAAATTCTTCATTCATTTTACACATAATTAACAAATGTTGCCCATTACATTTCAAACAATTAACTTTATTTTTACAAAAGCGCGCAANATAATTTTTCCTCCCATCATTGTAAAATTATAAATTAAATAAATATCATTAATAAAAATTAAATAATTTTGAGTAGCTTGACTGGAACCCGAGTCCATCTCATTTCTGCCACCACGACATTTGATATGTAAGTGGTGTGGTATTTTTTTACTAACAGTTAATAATTCTCTCGTTAATTATCAAATGTTAATTATTTTTTTTTAAATTTTTTATTTAAATTTTGGAATTTTAAACACTAGGCCAGGGGTCCCCAACCTTTCTGTACTTAAGAGCAAATACCAGAATATCGGTCGAATGGCGGGCACCATTTATTTTTTCAAGATAAATATATAATTGGTAGACAAAGGTAATAATACACAATACATATAATGCACGAAACATTTAATTTTAAAAAATTTATTTCACATATGAATATAATTAGTATTAATATTCTTGTGTAAAATAAGTGATTACAAAATTGCTTCAAAATATACGAAATTACTAAATTGCTTTCAAAATATACGAAGTATAAAAATTATTTATAAAATATATAAAATACAGTCAATGTGATCTTTGGCATTGCATTTCACTGGCCAGCGCTTCATTATTGGGAGAGTAGGATGAAATTCCTGCTCACAAGCAATTGTCAAAGTGTTCATTTTTAAGTCGGGATCTATATTTTTATTTTATGATATTCATTGTCGAAAACAATAATTCACACAAGTATGTGGTACCAAATATGTATGTGGTACCAAATGTTTTATAAGCTGCGCTTTTTAAGAATGAAATTTATTTCTGTCAACTATATTCCAGTATTTCCAGAATCTGATATAATAGTTTTGAGGATAATGTCATTCTGAAGATCCAAAATTTCTATCTCCACTTCTTCTCGCCTTTCTTGAAGAAATTCTGAAATGTATGTTGCTATTTCGGTTACGTTTATTTGATTGGTAAAAGGATTTACGAAAAAAGGTGATTAAAGGCTCGATGATATTAAATTGTTAAAAGCGCTTTTCAAATCCATCTTGAAGCAATTGGAGGTTTATGACAAATGTTGATAAGTCAATTTCACTGTCACCTATCACTTTTTTCATGTTTGGAAAATGCACAAGAGACTTCATTTTCAAATGTGATATCCACGAAACTAGCTTAGCTCTGAGCGAGTTTATAGCCCCTATCATTCTTGCTGTACTATGTTTGTCCTTTTCCTGCAGCTCTAAGTTTAAATTATTTAGTTTTTCCATTATGTCCGTTATGAAAAACAAATCTGATAGCCAAAGAGGATCTCTTAGTTTTAAACATATTTGATTTCTGTCTGCAAGATAATTTTTTATTTCTTCAATTAAATGCAGAAATTTATCAAGTATTTTGCCTTTACTGAGCCAGCGTATTTCAGTACGTATTTGCATAGCATTTTGGGAAAAGGGGAAACTGAAATAATTTTTCGTTGGATACAAGCAGTGGGCGCACCTAAACCGATCGACGGGCGCCATAATGCTCGCGGGCATAGGGTTGGGGACCCCTGTTCTAAAGTATCGTATAATCTGACTAAAGAATATTTCTGACCTTGAGGATTCGAATTATTTATTACTAAAGCAAGAAGTTCTCGAATATAAACTTCAATCAACAAATCATCCCTCCCAAAACGCTGTTTTAAACATTCAATAATTTATTCATAATTTTTTCCTGAGGGGGGAAATGATTCTACTAATTGTCTCGCTGCCGAATTTTTTACAGTTGATTGGATTAAATACTGAAGTTTATCGTCATCCTCAATGTCCGAATCTTCGTGTATTTTTTTGAATTGCCCCCACCACTGAAACCATTCCTTAATGTTTCCATTAAATTGTTTCAATTCTAATTCAGGAAGTTTGAACTTGCGCGGCGAATTAATATTTTCAGTAGAATTTTTTAACACGAGTTCTTCTATTTTCGGTTTTTCTATAATATTCAATCGTCTCTTTAATTTAGTACAGGTTTCTAGAAATCTATCTTCGTACACAGTTATTGCGTCATATTCTAAATCAAAATTATCTTGCGAGCATGTTTGATCATCACTTAAAATGGATAAAAGTTTAAAATCCAATTCTTTCAATTCTTTGTATTTCTGTTCTAGAAGAACAATTTGTGTGGCCAAAATATCGGGATCATTTTCATTTTCTTTCAATAAATCTAACGCCTTATTCAATACCTTTGAGAAATTATTTCTCGCTGGCGTTCGTAATTTTTTAACACTCTCAACTGACATATCTAATTCGTATAAAGTTTCATAAAGTTTAATAAAGTTCTATTCTAGTCTTTCTAATTTCTGAAGTCTATTCTGATCCCGAGCAGGGATGCCAGATTTTGGGTATTACCAAAAGATATCAAAAAGGGAGATAGCTTACCTCCGCCAAAAGGCCGGGAACACTTCGTATTAATCCATAGACTTCTATAAATCAACTAACTAATTTCAGTTGAGAGTGAAATATTCAATATTAAATTTTATTCACAAACATATGGACACAAAATATTTACTGACACACACAACAAAAACAACATGCTTCGCAATCGTAGTTCTAAAACAGTTCTCTCTCGAACCAGAGTGTCAGTGTGTGTGGGAGGAGTCGGATTAGCCTTGAGCACGTGATTATCATGCGCTCACTAGATGAAATTAAGTGATAGATTAATGAATTTAATTGGAATTTCCAACAATATACATGGTGCCTCATACGCTTTGCATCCAATCTGCGTCTTCTGTTACAAAAGACTTCACGTCCCTTTTTTAAAGCAATCCTGTCCTCTGTGCTTCATCCCATTCATTTAGTTTTGCTTTGCACAGATCTTTGCCAAGTAAATAGCTCGGCTTTCCTCCTTCTCGTTCTGCGTAAAGTCTCAATACTTATATTGTTTGCAAAATGCTTTATGGTTTGCATTCGAAAATGTTTCAGAGGTTTTATGCTTTTAATCTATAGATCAGTTGTGAGTATCCAACGATATTTTTGTTCATCTTCATTATTTTCATCAATATCATCGGCAGCAGGCACTAAATCAGAGATATTGCAGGAATGGGAAAATTATGGGATGCGTCTTGTTGTTTGACATACACGTCATCGACTTCAGACAAGCAATTTTTTTCGAAGCGCTAATGTTCCCTTGAATATTGAACAGCAATTATCCCCGAGCAACCCGTTTATAATGCATTTGAGTCAATACTATCCATTACTGTGGAAATCAAATTCAGAGCTTTTAGAACGTTTATTTTTGTTTTAGAAGCATTTTGCAGGTCATTGGAATTAAGAAAATGATCCAATTTCTAAAGTAACGCTCTTTAAATGATTCGATAATATTCTACTGGCAAATTTTACAATTTAAGTGCCATACATTCTTTCACTTCTCACAGTCATCAGAACAATAAGAAAAGAAGAATGTCAGAAAAGCTACAAAAATATAACAGGCAAGTCCTTTTTTTAGAAATGTAAAGAAGAAGAAAATTAAAAATAAAAGCTCAGAAAAAGTTTTTGCGAGCTTTCTAGCGAAAACATTATATTGATCTGTCAGAAAAACATGTAATGCGGGAAATTTAACATCATCTGTCTAGGTAATTTTCACAAACCAGTAGAATATGACGTAGGAAGCAGGATAACGTACAAAACGTACAATGAAAAACCGGGGTTCCACTGTGTCTTTATTTGAAATAGTGTTTGGCCAGAATATTTTGCACAATTCTTAGGTGTTTGTTCTGAAATGCTTCTAATTTGTCTGTTCTAGCTTTAGGGAGTTTTCAACACTCACCATAAAAAAGTAATGAGCAAACAACAGTTTTAAAAACATTTATTTTTATGTTACATTTTTAATTTTAAGCAATAATTTTGAAGCTCTCCAAAATTTTTGATAGCTTCTGAAAGAGATTATTATGATTATTTGGCTTATATCATCACTGCTTGATCATTTAATATTGCTCCAAGATGAAGAAATTTTCCAAGGTATTTTATATCTAATTATTAAATTTTGCATTGATTTTTGCGATTTTTGCTTTATTTTTATTTCGAGTGATTTGATTTGCATACTTACTAAATTTATTGGTTTTCATTTCAAAATCGATGAGTCTACATGAAATGGGGATTATACCAACGGGTCTGGTTCATTTCATCGACAATCACTTCATCGACAGGCCATTTCATCGACAGACCATTTCCTCGACGGGGTCGTTTCGTCAACAGGCCATTTCATCGACATCAACCTACAGTTCTTCTTATTTAGCAGAAAATGGACAAACAAACTGAAGAATAAAATTTATATTCTACTTACTTTAAATTTTTAATTCAATTTTAATATTATTCAGTTTGGCTTCAAATTTTTCTCTCTATTTTTTTTTCATTGTGGATGGGATCAAAGGGCGCAAGAGGAAAATTTCCCAAGCAGAGGGTGCAGGGGGAAAATGAAGGTTCCCCGTGTATATGAAACTTCACCCAAACGAAAGTTGACCCAATAGATAATTAATGATGTGCACCTGTGGGCACGGGAGTTCTCCAGGGGTCCGTTTGGAGGGAAGGAATCCTTTTTTGGGGAAAAACAACCTGAGAGGGAAAATAGATTTTCCTCTTACTATCGCTTAGCCATATATTCAATCGACGACATTTTTTTAGCCATTTTAAATAATGTCGGAAATAAGCTACTTAAAATCTTCAAAAGGGGGCTATTTGATACTGTATAAAAATTATTTATTTACTTTGCACAGTAAATATAAAAATGAAACTAATTATTGGAAATGTGAACAGAAAAATTGCACAGCGAAACTCACTACATTTAATGGCTTTTTGAAAAATGCTATAGAGACACATAACCATGCTCCGGATTTCCATAAAATTCGCAGGAAAACGTTTTACAACAAATTGAAAAGCAGGTGTGAGATGGAGTTCTCTGAGGCTATTCCAAGAATATACAGGTAAGAATTTTATTTTTAAAAATGTTATATAGTATGATTTCATTTTAATTTTTCAATCGAGAATTTAATTTTCAG